GATCACCTATATGGTCTGTCTAACAAGGGTACAAGTGAATTATTCTAGAACTATGAAGCTAATTTATAAATTAGTTTATAAATTTTTTTATCAAGTTTATAAATTTATGAAACTAATTTATAGCTCTCAAATGAAAACTTAATTCTAGTCCAAGAATATGGGGAGGGGGTGAGGAAGGGGAGGGGAGAAGGGCGGCTGGGTGGTGGGAGGGTGACTGAAAAGATCACCTATATGGTCTGTCTAACAAGGGTACAAGTGAATTTTTCTAGAACTAGAATATAAATGTTTTAACACAATAACTAAGTAAATGACATAAAGTCTATGTTAACCAGCTTGATGAAAGTATTTCAAATTGTATATGAAAACACTACACTGTACCCCACATTTGCATTAATGTATACAGCTATCATTTAATAAAAAAAAAAAAGAAACTTTGATATATGAATACAATGGAATACTATTCAGCCATTTCAGCCATAAAGAAGATGAAGACTTTACATCTTTTGTATTAACTTGAAAGGAGTTGAAACACATTCTTTTCAGTAAAGTATCACAAGAATAGAAAATCAAGAATCCAATGTAGTCAATACCAATATGAAGCCAGCAGATGATACATGACACATAAGAGAAAAACTCAATTCAATTCAAGTTTGGGAAGGGGGGAATGAAGGGAGGGGGAGGGGGAGGAAGGAAGGAGAATAGTGAGCTCCCTCTTAGTGGGCACAATGCAAGGGTACATGGCATACACAGCTCCAGGGTGCGGGACACAACTACAAGACACAACTACTACTACTATCTAACAAATGCAAACATCATAACCTAGTTGCTTATACTCTCATATTCAACTTAAATAAAAATAAATGAACACATAAATAAAACAAAATTTTCTTGGTTTGGAGGCATAAGCCTGAAGTCTCTGCTACTCAAAATGTGAGGAGGAGGGTGGCGTGGGCACAGGATTTTGAAGTTGCAGTGAGCTACAATCTCACAACTACACTTCAGCCCAGATGAAACAGTAAGATCTGTCTCTATAAACAGAAAAAAAAATTACCTGATGTGGATGTCTGTATATTCTTCTTTCCTACCACTTTCTCTGGAACAAATTCTTTCGTGTCAGTGGCTGGCTGAATGGGCTTCTAAAAAGAATTTCATGAATAGTGAACATTTCACACAATAGTCAGTAAAAACTTCCAAGAGAAAAATACAAATGTTATTACCTTCAAGGGAGGATGTTCCTTAGGAAATGCTAAAAAGCAAAAGAGACATACAATCAATGTTGAGATTTTATAAATGTAAATATGGAGAAGCCAACCATACAATCATGGAGAGCTGGTGTCAAGACGAATCCTCATCTTTGAAAATGATTAGGCTTTGGTTGTTTGTTTGTTTCTTTTTAATTAGGGGAGAGCAACATGCTCAATAAAAATAAGAAATATAGATGTTCTCTGACATGCAGTTAAAATTTCAGAAGAGAGATTATGTTTGAAGTGATTGTGAATAAAATAGAAATGTGCCTCTGCAGTGTGAATGTGCCATCTATGAAGAGAGCAGTAAACTTTATTCTGAGAAGCAAATCATGGCCCTGAGAAGTTACATGTCAAAGCCAAGAGCAGAATACAATTGCATGTCTTTATGCAACACATGAGAAAATTTTATCTCATTATAATACAAGAATATTGTGTCCTTTAATTATTCCTGTCATTTAGGAAGTACACAGTAGTGAAGACAGTTCAGGTGAATGTACACAATCAATTTCTTATGAGAAAACTTGTTCTGACTTTATTGGTTTGGACAGACACTTGCAGAATATTAGCTAATAAAAATATTCACTTTCTCCTATACCCTTGTGGGATTACTAGAATGCCTACATGACTGTAAATCCTCTAGTTTAGCCATCTTAGAGTTCTTTCATCCACTCATGCAAGAAAATGTATAAAAAACACATGTAAAAAATGATGTATACTAAGTTCTAAATATTACATTCTTATCACAGGAAAAAATTGAATTGCCACATAGTTGTTAGCTATTAGTATCCTTTTTATTTCACAATCAGTGCAATATTTATTCATGACAAAAATGGAGTTTTAGATGAGCTGTATAATTTTTGCATGTAAAATTAGTTTGGTTTACTCTTAAGAATGTTAACGAAATAGCTCTTTAGCAGAAACTTAGAATGGGTGCAATGGCTCATGCCTATAATCCTCACCTGAGTGGAGGCCAAGACAGAAGTATTGTTAGTGGCTGGGGAACTAAGACAAGTCTTGGCAATGTAGCAATATCCCACCTCTACCATGAAGTAAAAAAGTTAATGGCATGGTGCATAAGACTGCAGTCACAGGTCCTCAAGGGGCTGAGGCAGAGGAACACAGTAGCTGAGCACTGCATGTGCAGTGACCTGTGATGAAGCCACTGCACTCCAGCCTGCTAAACATAGCCAGACCATGTCTCTCATTAACTATATATAATTAACTAAGCCAGAGTTTCTTGTGTTAATATGAATAGATCTCAGTTATATCATGCCTAGAAAACAAAACAAATTATGCAATAATGTTTACAGTATACAACCATTTTATAAAATTTAGGATACAAAAACATGTCCTCCAAGATATTTATGACCATACACATACCCAGTAAAAAGCAATGGTGGTGCCTAAAAATGACAAATACCTAATCTGATTGTTGGTTAAATCTATGGAAAACTTTTAATAGTAGAAAAGGACACAAAGGCCAAAACATTTTAGAATTGTTGTTTTAAATGATTGGGTCTATACAATTGTTCTTATGGTATGATTACTTTCTTTAACTTCAATAATCCACACTAAATGTTGTATTGAAAAAATTTACCTGTTCTGTGTCCAGAACTGTGGCTTGTACACGCAATAGCAGCACTTGTGGAAGTCAGCAGGGAAGGACCCTTTGATTCTAGGAGTTTGCCACCAGCCTTACCAACATAGCAAGATGACCTGGTCTCTACAGGAAAAAAAAAAGTTAAAGTTAAAAACTAGGTTGGTTTGGTGTCACAAGCCTGTGGTTTCAGCTACAATATACTTGGTTGGGGGAGCCACAAGGATCACTGGGGCATAGGACCTCAAAGTTGGAGTGAGCTTTCACCACACGACTGCACTTCAGCCTGGATAAAAGAGAGAACTCCTTACCCAAAGAGAAGAAAACAATTTACCTGATGTGGATGTTGGTATATTCTTCATTCTTATTTCTTTTTCTGGAATGGATACTTTCATTTCAATGGCTGGCTGAGTGGGCTTACAAACAAAGTATTTCATAAGTAATGTGTATTTCACACAAAATATAGTGAATAATTCAAAAGAAAAATAGAAATGTTACTACCTTCAAGGAATGATGTTCTTCAGAAGACCCTAAAAAGCAAAAAAGACAGTCAATGTTAATGATAGAAATGTAAACATGGGAAAACCAACCATACATTCATGGATAGTTAGGATCAAGTTGAATCCTCACACTTGGCTTTAAAAATGACTAGTCTCATTCCTGTAGGGGAACAAGATGGTGGGTGTTGTGGTGGGTGCCTGTAGTCCCAGCTACTTGGGAGGCTGAGGCAAGAGAATCACTTCAGCCCAAAAGTTTGAGGTTTCTGTGAGTTGTGACACCATGACACTCTAACCAAGGTGATAGCTTGAGACTTTGTCTCAAAAAAAAAAAAAAGGTATATGTATTAGTATTCTGACTATAGTCACAGGCCCTCAAGAGGCTGAGGAAGGAGGATCACTATAGCCAAGAATTTCAAGGTTGTAGCCTGCTAAACAGAAACAGACCCTGTCTGTAACTATAATTAATCAATTAAACAATAGCTTCTTGTGTCACTATGGATAGAACTCAGTCGTATAAGGCTGAGCAAACAAAACAAATTATACGAGGGTATGGACACTATACAACCACTTATATAAAAATCTACAACAGGAAAGGAAATCCTGCATGATATTTATGATCATACATGCATGTAGTCAAAAGTATTGAAAGCAACGAACACCTAATCTGAATGCTGATTATGTCAATGGAAAAATTTTAACAGTAGAAATGGACACAACAGCCAAAACATTTCAAAATCACTCTTTTAACTGTGTCTACAAAGTGTTATTATAGTATGATGATTCATTACTTTAATTTTAATAAGCAAAGATTACACACACACAGCCTCCTAATCCGAACAGCTGAATGGTGTAAAGTCACCAGCATAGTAACACTATGAAAGAAAGTGTAGGGAAAACATTTGAAGAAATCGGCTTGGGTGAAAACTTTAAGAGGAGGAGCCCTCAGGCAATTGAAGCAACAACAAAAATACACCTTTTGGGAGTTGATCAAACTAAAAAGCTTCTGCACAGCCAAGAACACAGTAAATAACACACTAAGTTTTGTACTGAAAAATTTACCTGCTCTGTGCCCAGAACCAGGGTTTATGCCTACAATACCAGCACTTGGGGAGGCCACCAACGAAGGAGTTCTTGAACGCAAAAGTTTGTCATCCACCTGATTAACATAGCAAGAGCAGGTCTCTATGGAGGAAACAAACAAATAAATAAATAAATAAAAATTAGCTCATTAGTGGGAACAAGACTCTAGTTTTGGCTACTTGGCAGGCTAAAGTACCAAGATCATCAAGCACAGGACTCTGAAGTTGCAGTGAGGTATGACCACACAACTGCACTTCAGTATCCGTAAAAAATGAGATATTTTCCCTTAAAAAATTACCTTTTATGTGTGTCCATATGTTCTTCGTTCTTACTGACTTCTCTGGAACAGATTCTTTTGTATCAGTGGCTGGCTGAATGGGCTTAGAAACGAGATATTTCATAAATAATGTGTATTTCATACAATAAGCTGTGAATAATTCAAGATAAATAACTGTTATTACCTTCAGCAAAGGATGTTTCCAGGAAGACACTACAAAAACAAAAAGGACAATAAATACTGAAGATTACACAAATGTAAATATGGCAAAGCCAACCTTATATTCATGGAGAGTGAGTCTCAACATGAACCCTCATTCAAATGATTAGACTTTTATATTAAGATAGCAACATGAGAGAAATATGCTGAAGAAAAATAGGAATGGAGGTAAGATTTGAAAATTGAGATTATCATCCAAATGAGTATGATAGCCAAAATAGAAGTGTACGCTTCTGCCGATCTGAACACGCTGATCCATGAAGAGAACAGTCATCTCAATTCTGACAGGACACATGACCCTGAGGGTTAAATGGCAAAGCCAAAGGCAGAAAGCCACAGCATATCTTTAACACATCAGAATCATTTTATCATTATGCTACTAATGCTTGTCATTCTCTTCAGTTGGAAATATGATTTAGGATGTACATGTTTGTGAAGGCAGCTCAGGGAATGTACAGTCAATTCATAATGAAAGAAAGTGGCCTGACTTGAGCAATTATGATATACACAACTAGAATATTAGTTAATAGAATAGACATTTTTCTCAATACCCAAGTTGTATGCCTACATTTTGTATCCTCTACTTCAGCAATCTTGAAATTTCTTCATCTACTCATACAAGGACATATGTACAACACATACAAAGAGTAATGTATACTAAGCTCTGATTATTGAATTCTTTATCAAGAAGAACAAAATTGAATTGCTACATAACTATTAGCTATTAAGAACATTGTATATGTCAAAATCATCATGTTTGTTAATAACAATGGAGGTCAAGGAATGAGGTTTATAATTTTTTGTCTCTAAAATTAGTTGGTTTGGTCTATCTTCGTCGTATCTTAAGGATTTTTATGAAATTGCTCCTTAATAGAATATTAAAATGAGCATAGTGGCTCACACACATCCTCCTATGAGGAGGCCATGGAAGTCATGTAATTTGTGGCCAGGTCGACACAAGTGTTGGCAACATAGCAAGACCCCACCTCTACAAAAAAAAAAAAAAAAAATTGGGTGGCGTGGAGGTGTCCATCACAGGTACTCAAGCAGCTGTGCTTGGCAGAAGGATCATGATAGCCTAGGATTTAAAGGTTGCAAGGATCTATGGGAAGCCATGGCACTCCCACCTGGCAAACACAGCCAAACCCACTCTCTAATGAACTGATTAATTGATTAAGACAGACCTTTTTTTTTCAATATGGATTGATTTCAGTCATAGTATACCAAAGAAACAAAAAAATTATATAACGAGGTGTACAGTATGCATCCATTTATATGAAATGTAGGAGGACAGGAAGACAAATTCTATGTAATATGTATAACCATAGAAATATGTAGTCAAAAGGACTGAAAGTGCATGAAAATGATAAACTGCCTCCATGGAAAAAGTTTGAATAGTACACAAGAACACTAAGGGCAAAACATTTCAGAATCACTGTTTTAAGTGGCTATGCCCACAAAATTGTTAGTGTGGTAAAATTAATTACTTACCTCATTTGTAATCATCCAATATCATACATACAAACAGTATCCTACTCAGAACGTCTGACTGACTTAATATCATCAGTGTAACAACAATATGAGGAAATAATTAAAGTTATAATACAAGTGACATGGAAGCAAGTAAAGCTTTCCAATCAGATCAGAATTCCCGTGAGCATTTGAAACACTGACAAAAAACTGTGATCTCATAGTTCACTCTGTGATTCTTTGACAAGCACAGAGATTCCAAACATGAACCTTCAGAGGTCAGGACATAAAATTAGAAAATGAAAGTATGAAAACATAGCTTCTTTAAATATCATTTTCTTACACTTGTAAATTATTCAATTTTAAACATTGGTACGAACAATACCACTGGCATTATTTATGTCAAATGCTGCCATCAAACTTGAGAAAGAAGAACTAGGAATGAAAAGACTGCAATCATTTCAACTATTTTTAATAAAATTCTTTCCATAATAAATTTTGTATTGGAAAACTTATCCAACTGGGGCCCAGTACCCTGACTCACGCCTGCTATATGGCAGTCAGTAGGGAACATCCTCTTGAGTTCAGGAGTTTGTCAACCTTCTTACAAATATGGTAATACCAGGTCAGAAGAAAATAAATAAAACTTAGCTCAGTTTGTTGGAAAGACCTGTACTGTCTCTTAACTACTCAGAAGGCTGAGGGAGGGTAATCGCTTGGTGACAGTACTTCGTAATTGCACTGAACTATAGTTACGTCACACAACTGCCCTTCTGCTTGGGTAAAGGACCAAGATCTTATGTGTAGAAAAAAAAAATTACCTGACGTGGATAACTGTATTTTCCTCCTTATTGCCTTCTCTGGATTGGATGCTTTCATTTCCCTGGTTGGCTGGGTGTTCTTGGAAACAAAGTATTTCACAGATCATGTGTATTTCACACAGTATGCAGTGAGTAATTCAAGGCAAAAAGAGAAATGTTATTACCTGCAAGGGAAGATGTTCTCCAGGAGACCCTAAAAAGCAAAAGGGACAGAGAATTGATGCTAATGATTATAGAATTGACGCTAATGATTATATAAATGGCACTATGACAAACTTAAGCATATATTGATGGGATGGGAGTCTCAAGGTAAATGATTTTGTTGTTTTAAAGACAGGGGAGCAACAAGAAGAAAAATAGAAATTTAGGTCTTCTCCTACATGCAGTTAAGATTTCAAATGAACAACTGAAACAATTTTGTACTAAATGATTATAGTAACTGAAAGAGAAATGTGCACCTCCACCAATCTGCACATGCTGATCAACAAGGAGTGTGATCAACAAGGAGCTGATCAACAAGGTCATCATTCTAAGAGGCAAATCTTGACTCTGAGAGGATGGATGTCAAAGCCAATGGCAGAATGCTACAGCATACCTTTAATGCAACACATCTATGACATTTGTCATTTTGTTCAGTTAGTCCTCTAATTTGGGATGTACACATTTGTGAAGACAGTTCTAGTGAATGTGTGATGAATTTATTATGAAAAAAAGTGGTCTGAATTGACCAGTTTGCACACACACTTGCAGAGTAAGTTAATAAAAATATTCATTTTTTTCATACCTACTTGGGTTACCGGAATGAGTACTCTTTTGTATCCTATTGTTTAGCCATCATAAGTTTCTTAATCACTCATTCAAGACCATATATAATACATAAGAAATAATGTTTACTAAGCTATTAGTATTTAAAGGTTTATCAAAAGGGAAAAATTGAAGTACTATGGAATTTTTAACTATGAATAACATTTTATAATTTAAAATCAATGCAATATTTTTAGTGAACTAATGACAGAGTTAAAGGAACTAGCTCTGTAATTTATTGTTTCTAAAACTTTTTTTGCTGGCTTTATTACATTAATCTCATTAGGTTTCAGATATTAATTAATCTCTTACAATAAATAGACAATGCTTTTAAATCATAGTAATCTCATTTGATTAGTTAATATCACATCAACATATATCCGTGATACATTTAAGTAACGGAGAAGAGAAGTCAGTAAGGGTGGTGTACTCCAATTTTAGTTCTTTTTAATTTTTTTTCACTAAATCATAACTGTGTACGTAAATGCATTAATGGGGTACAGTATGCTAATTTGAAATACAATTTGTGAAAAGCTTACATTAAACTTGTTAACATAGCCATCACCTCACTTATTATTTGTTGTGGTAAGACATCTTTTTTCTTATAGTAATGTCTAATCTTCCACTTGAGTACAGAATTACTGAAGTATATTTGACCTGATCAGAATTGACTTCTCTCAAGTTTCTTATCATTACCTGCAGAATTACCTAACCAATGTCTTTCCTTTTCTATTCTACTCCACTCACAATATGTCTTCTTTTGCAAAACCCATGTTGAGATCATGGTTGTTACTTCAGTGTTCTTTTGATAGATAATTTCTAAGAATTCTTTCCTCTTTATTTAGCAATAATATATCTGTAATTTTGATTTCTTTGCCTTTTTGTTCATTCCTCTCTAGCTAGAAACATGCTCAGAAATAGAAGCAAAATTATGCTTCCCCTTGATCCTCAGATCTTTGACCTTACCCCATGGCTCATCTTCCAGTTTTCCCTGCAGGGAAGTTTGTGCCCTTGCTCCTCAGTGTGTGGTCCAGGGACCAGCAGCACTGGCATCACCTGATTGTTTAATAGCAGTGCAGCTCCCCTAGATGTGTTGAGTCACAATGTGCATTTTTAACAAGGTCCCCTGTGGATTTCTTACCATTCAAGAAGCTCTGCTTTATACTGAGTATGCTTCCACATTCCCTTACCTAACCTTCCCTTTCTGACATACAGTCTCAAGATCCTCCCTTTCACATCTTTGAATTTGAAACTGCATTGCCAATCATAAAGTTTCTTTTGGACTTTTTATCAAGCTATGGCTTGCCTCATCTCTTTATAACTAACCCTACTCTCTTTGCTCTATTTCCCTTATTTAAGCCTTTATGCTACTATCCTTTGACATAACATCATTTTAGATGATACTAAATTTTATCTATGTATGTCTCACCCTGTACGTGCACATTCCTCCATGGTAGACAGCTCTGTATGATTAGGGACCTCAATCCTCAGTGCTGCCCCAGCCGTGAGTAGGACAGGAAGAGTAGAGAAATTTTACTCTACTTCTCCAACATGTTGCTGTGCTGAAAGCTCACCTCATGTTCTTCCCACTGTGCTGACACCCTGACCTTCCTTTTATTAAGGAGGTATCTCACTGGACCACCCTGCATCACAGACACCTGCTTCTTGTCCCTTCACGTCCTCTCGGTACTCTCTGCCTCGCTCATTCTGCCCCCTCTCTTTCACTCCTTTCCTTTCCCTAATTTCCTAACTTTCCTCAGGTCACAGAATACCTGGAAATGGAATTAAAAGGTCTGCTCCTTCGATGACACTCTCCATTTAATCTGTTGCTCATATCTAACAAGGTGTACAACTTATCACCATTTCACTTCTCTTTTTTATTATACATTTAGTAGGTGACTTTCCTTGGTTACTGGAATTTATTGGTAATCATGTTTTAAAATAAATATTGGGCAAATAACTTTAGATAAAATCAATCACCTTCTCCTTGTTCATTGACGGTACTTTCTCCTGGATCTGCAGCCCCAGCTGGGTCATCAAAATCCTCAGATAAACTCTGTTAATAGTCATATCAATGATGAGTTTCAGTTAAAAATAATGTTACATCAATATTTCCTAATCACCTTCTTCTAAAATGTCTGCATTTCCCATTTAAAACAATTATAGCTATATATAACAGAGGCACACATTAAAAATAAAAAATACTTCAGAGATGATTTCACATATTTGCATGATATCAAGTTTATCTTTTATCTGTATGTCACTGTTGATTCTTTAAACTGAGCAGGGAAGGCCCCAGAAACACATTGACAGACATAATACGACCTTATGTGCATAGGTAACAAGAACTAACCTCAAAATACTTTTACTTTTATTTCCTGCTAAAGACAACAGAACACATAAAAGATATACAATATGTTTACTGTAATTTCTAAAGTATTAAACATTTAAAGTTTAATTAATTATTAATTTAATTGTTCTATTAATTATCACTGAAATAATTACTTTTTTTGTGTGTGTGTGACAGAGTCTCACTATGTCACCCTTAGTAACTGAGTTTCGTGGCATCACAGCTCACAGCAACCTCAAACTCTTGGGCTCAATTAATTCTGTTGTCTCAGTCTCCCTAGTAGCTGGGACTGCAGGCACCTGCTACATGCCTGGCTGATTTTCTTTTTTAGAGATGGGATCTCGCTCTTGCTCAGAGCTGATTTCCAACTTGTGAGCTCAGGCAATCCACCCGCCTCGGCCTCCCATGTAGTAAGATTACAAGCGTGAGCCACCTGAAATAGTTCTTTAGTTTTTGGATATACCTAACTTCAGAACCCAAACTGATTCTTTATGAGCAAAAGGAAGTCATGAAGCCTTATTATTTTGTACTATACTACTGTGGCTTCTTAAATAAAACTTGCAAATTAGCAGAATTGCACTATGCAGCCGTAACATACTTAGCACATAATTACTCTAATTATGTTCTGAAAAAATGCAAGAAAATAATTCCTATGGGCATAATCAAGACATGATGAAGTCAAAACAGCTACTTTTATGTTTCAATATCCCTGAATGGTTATGTTTTAAAATAACAAGAGACGGTACCTGCAAATGCAAACTTGCTTCTCTAGCTGCCTCTTGTTCTGATCCCAATGCAGTCATCACATCTATAAAATGTTATTTACAGATATATCGGTAAGAAATTTAAGTACATATACAACTCTGTCTCCATTTATTTCAAGGAAATAAAAGTAATAGCATAAAATAATCTCAGAAGGTTTAAGTATTTTCAGGAAGATGTTAATATAAAGAAAGATAGCAAAAAGAAGATTGAAAAGAAATGGATATATTTGTGGCTAAGCCTGCTAATTTTTTACAATAGCATTTTAACAAACACTTTCAGAGATATTTTCTAACTTACCACCTCTATTGTTTTTATACACAAAAATAAAATTGTCATTACTTGTTTCCTTGTGTGAGGCGCATTCAACAATACCAATACCAGTTTGTTTTTTTCCTGTGGCTTGTTTTCTTGGTCCCTCCTATTTGAAAAAAAATAAAAATAAAGCTTCAGAAATGTATTTATTCAGTCAAACACTGATTCGATCTTTGAGACAAAAAACATTCACTGTGTTTATGCAACCCTGGCACTATCCTGGGAGAATCTGAAAAGAAAAATAGAAGACAGCTGTGCTCTGTAATTTAGTGGGCAGAGAGACACACAGGAAAGGTAAGGAGAGTCTGAGGCACTTGTCCTACAGTCATGGTGAGTAAGCAGAGCAAAGGCACAATGAGAGCACAGACCACAGGCAGCTCTGTTGGGGCAGCTCGGGAGAGATGGGGCCAAAGCTTGACAGACACCACATGCAGTGACAGAGTGGGAGAGGGTCTAGACAGGAGTGTGAGCAGAAGGCTGAGGCACTAAACAACACCGCACCAAAGTAATGTGGTCAAACTGGGACAGTGACAGGAGAGGAGACAAAGAGAGACACTGAGAGACTCAGGCCAAATGACAAAGCACACGTGTCAAGCTAGCATGTGAGCCTTCTCCTTCATGTAATGGTGTGTACTCAACAAGCAGATGCATTAGACCATCACTGATATATTTCAGAAATGTCAGGCTGGCAGCAGTGTAAACACAGACAAACACGGAAGGGGCAAAACTAGAAAAGAAGATTTCAAGATCATAAGTCAGAGAGTAAATTACAGCAATAAGACATGAAAATTGTAGGCAGGTAGAAAACACAGAACTCGGTGAGTGACAGGATTGGTGACTTGAGGGAGGGCGGGAGTGAAGGGTTCTTCACCCTTCCGTGCGTCAGTGCTCTCTGTGGGGTGTTTCTTGGATGGGGAACCCAGATGACAGAGGAGCCTACAAAGGGTCAGGAAACAGGCAGGGAAGGGCCAAGGGCAGTGTCTTTCGAATGGGACTTATCAAATTTGAGGTGCACAGAAGACTAAGAGGACACATCTGGATAAATACATGGGGAATAGAAGCAGTGACTTTACTCTGGAAAAGCATATGGTGTTAAGAAGATAAATATTTAAAAGATAATCTAAACTGCTAGAATTAAATAATGCTCTGTCACTATGAATTTTTCAGCCCATTCTTTTTATATTCTAACCCCTGAAAGTATTTATCAATCCTTCATTATGTAAACAAATAGAAAAAAAAAACCATTCAACTAGTGATATTTCTACTAAGTGGTTTTCTGTGACCAATTTTTCATGGCAAACATAAAATGATCATAGTTAAACCACTGTTAAATTTTAACAGTAAATACTACACAAAACTAGATTCAGAGTGAGAAAATTAATGGTACAAGAAATATTTCTACCTTGGTGTCAGAGTCAAAGTCTTCATGCTCTGGAGTATGACGTAAGTTCTCATCAACATCCAGAGGGTCAGAAATGCTTTAGAGCAGAAACAGATCACAAAAATGAATGGGTTCATTTCTTAAAAAAAAAAAAAAAAATCTTCCAGTTCTTATATGGGTGCTCTCTCAAAAAAAAAAAAAAAAAAAAAAAAACTAAAACAAAACTAAAACCAAACACACAGGGGAAAGGCCATCCAGTACATATTAAATCTGTCTCTTAATACAGTTAAAGGTGGATTTTTGTTTTATAAAAGATATTTTAGTTATCTATTTCTGCCTCTATCTCTCCCAATCTATGAAATATTCAGTGAGACACCCTGAGTTCCACAACAAATAGTGACAGGCAATATATTGGCAGCACCTGAGAATATTCTATCTTCGCAAATTCTCTGTCTTGAAGGCCAAACTGAAAACCCAACTAACAACTAACATAATTTTTGTTACCTAAACTGGGAATAAATCTGACAAGCTCTAACAAGGTAGAAAGATACCTTTATTATCTATCTCATTATCCTTTATTATCTATCTCTGGTTCAAAGCCTAATCTGTGTCACTTGAAAACGGCAGTGGTGGTTCTTCAGCATGGAAACCACTTAGAAAGCCCCACTGCTTCCCCACAGAGAATCCTGTGAACATTTGAGACGTCTAAAAGCTATGTGTACAAGTCAAAGAAAAAATGTATAAGTTGTTGTTATGGATACTCCTCCCAGAAAGATTAAAACATTAAAAATTTAAAAATCCAATTATTTTCTCTAGGTAAGTCCTCCTTTATTCACTATGAACCAGAAAGCCCCTAAAAGTCTTCACAGGCACTCAGAGTCAGAAGAACACAGACTGCTGGAGACCAGAGTCGCAGCAGCTGCACCCCTACTTTCCTACATACTATGTGGTCATCTTCCTTCCTATGGGCTCCCACTTCCAGGTACTTCATTCATAGGACTCCAGGACAGTTTCCAACCTTTAAATCTTTAGCCTGGAAGGTACAGCCCCTGAGGTGTGGGCCCAACTGACTCAGAGTAGTTGCTATCTGCTCCGCTGCTCTAGGAAACAAACTACATGGGGTCTTAGTCGTCCACCCCCAGCACAGGCATGTCTCCAGCGTCCTGGCTGGAGCTCCGTGACTGACTCAGCAGCCAGTCCTAACCCTGCCCTATACTCCATGTACAAGACAAGGACATCAGTGAATTGGAAAAGAGGTGGAGGTGAGGGGACACCTGCCCTGGGCCATGGATCCATCTCGTTCAGCAGCCTCCAGTCCCCTAGCAGTCAAGGGGCTCTAAGCCACCCCTCTGTAAGCTGGGATACAAGTAGCTGGCGTCATAATTATGCTATAGAGACTCTTCCCAGTGGCTCACATTCCTTTTCCATCTTTCAATAGCAACCAAGTTTGTCTGTCTTTCCAATTAACCAAACAAAAAGGCAGCAACCTGTTTGGGGCTGCCTTGAACCTCTTTTATTTTCCCTCTTAATTTTTTTTATTAAATCATAACTGTGTGCACTAATGCATTTATGGCATACAATATGCTGATTTTATATACAGTTTGGAATGCTTACATCAAACTGGTTAACATAGCCTTCACCTCGCTTATTTAATTGTTGTGTTAAGACATTTATACTCTACTCTTAATAGATTTGACATGTACCAATGCCACATGCTCCACAGGTGAGATCCCACTGATTACCCTCCCTCCACTCAGCCATCCCCCTTCCCTCCCCTTGCCCTCCTCTTCTCTCCTTCTTCCTGGGCTATAATTGTGTTTTATCATGTGTATGAAAGTTTGGTTAATTATATATTGGTTTTATAAAGTTCTGACTACATTGGATACTTTTACTTCCATTCTTGAGATACTTTACTAAGAAGAATATGTTACAGCTCCATCCATGTAAACAGAAAAGAGATTAAGTCTCCATTTTAAAGGCTGCATAATATTCCATGGTGTATATTGTGGTATCTGTATGTATACCACAATTTGTTAATCCATTCATAGGTGGATGGGCACTTGGGCTGCTTTCATGACTTAGCAATTATGAATTTGGCTGCAATAAACATTCTGGTGCAAATATCTTTGTTGAAAAGTGATTTTTTGTTTTCTGGATAGACATGTAGTAGCGTAATTATAGGATCAAATGGATGGCAGGTCTACTTTTAGTTTCCCAAGTGTTCTCCAAACTTCCTTCTGAAGGAAAGTATTAGCTTGCACACCTACAAGCAGAACTTCTTATATTATATATAAGCTTCCAACATACCCTTCATTCCTGGGATTTATCTTTGCCAAACTTGTCATAACCCCCAATAGGATCTCTTTTCTAAAACCCTCATTCCTGAACAACCCACTGCTGTTTCTTTTCCAGCCTGGCACTCCCTTGCTGATCCCATGGGCGTCCACTTCCACTGGGCTCTCCAGCTGATACCATTCTTGTCTTATTCCATTGGCTTCACTAGACCCCTCCCCTTTCCTAAACACTCATAGCCAGGATGATGGAAGAAGAGCACTGGGCTACGAATTAAGGAACCTGAGTTCAAATTTTATTTCCGACACTTACTATATCCTAATAAGTCACTAAAATCTCTTTGAGTTTCAGGTTCTCCTCTTGACTAGTATGTCAAACACAGCTGAAGCACTAGAGGGGATTTTCATTAGTCTCCAAGATTCCTTAAAACACTGAAATCTATGAGATTTTGATTGAGTCTATAGAGAAATGGGGCACACTCAGTGAGCAGAAATGGGAAAAATAATAGAACAAAGGAAACACCCCACAAAGCAGAGAAGAACGTTAAAAAACACAGAATAATTATAGAGAACTCATGGAGGAAGAAGAAAGATGCAAAAGAAAAGGCTTCATGGAAGTAGGAAAAGGAAAAAGCCTAAAGAGAAAACCAAACTGGAAGTCAGTAAGTAGAGAAATCACCTAGAAACAGACTGTTAATCAGTTTGATGTAAACATTCCAAATTGTATATAAAATCAGCATATTGTACCCCATAAATGCAGTAATGTACACAGTTATGATCTAACATGAAAAAAGAATAGATGGGACAAAAAAAAATTTTTTAAGGAAAATAAAAAATGGATGCTAAATGTTAATTAGCATAACATGATTTATACACAGATGTCCTTTGTTTACAGTAATAATGATTCCTCTCTAGAACCTGCCTGGTCTTGCTTATGTAAAACCTATAGAGCTGTGAGCACAGCTAAGTGAGATCTGCCCTAAAACCTTTGAGGATAAAAGCAAGGTACCAATCACCACTGCCACTGTCAGACACATTAAGACAAACTTGGACTAACATGGAACCAAGTGTGACTCTCTGTCCTGATTGGACATGGACCTGGTTCCTGCCCCTCAGGGCAGCACAGGGTGTAGCGACCTGGGCTGCCAGGCAAGACCAGG